ATCTAAAGGCGCAATTCCACTGAGGCAACACTGAACGCCATGTAGCTTTATACTTGTTGCCTAGTGTTGCCAATGTAAGTGTCCGACTATGTGGTACAAAATTCAATTAATGTCGCATGCGGAATTTGTTATCCCACGTCGCATGCGCGTTGTCGTACATGTGCGAAACATGCATCTAAAGCGATTCAATTAAGGCAACTTGGGTTCAATACATCATTTCATTACAAACAGCAGCTTATTATTTCCTAATCGCTTTGAATCGTAAAGAGAAAAGAAAAACGTCACGATCACTATATATCGATGGTGAAGAAATTGAGTATAATTTAATACATCTAGCTTGAAGAGAAGTGGAAAATTCATTTTAGACTGATAGTCCGTGAGAAAAAAATCGACATTATTGATGAAAACTTTAAAAGCATTTTTAAAAATATATTTATAACATTTATATTTAAAAAATGAATCTGCCAGTCAGATCTTGCTACTTGTGAAAATGGCGGCTAACTTAAATAATTAATAAGATTTTTTCTCTTATTAATTGTATATAAGGTATCAGACATGTAAAAAACAAAATTGTAAACGCGGTTCACCAAGGGAAAAGTTTTCACAGCAACAAATGTCGAAATGTTTTTATTATTTTTTTTTTTACTTATAACTCCTAAACGGTGCATCGAAGTGAAAAACGTACTTTTAAAGAAATTAAAGAACGTTAAATTGTGCGCAGATGAGTACCTAAACTTAATAATTTGGTAAAGTGTTATGTTTGGACGATAACCACTGCCAACCAATGGTGATTTTTACCAAATTCACCATAAAGTGATAAAAAATACTAAAAACGGCGTTGCAGCTTGGAAATGAGATCTCTAAGAGAAAAAATCCACAGAATAAAATTTGTACAGCATCAAATTTCTAGTCTACTGAGTGCCAACAGTTTTAATGTAAGTCACTTACTCCCCTACAGTGAATAGCGGTAGTTTGAAATTGGTAAGGAAGATATCTTCGATTTTAAATATTTCAACAGTATGGGTATCTATTCAACTGAGTTATTCTTGTTAAGAGTCTAGTATATATAATATAGAACTCTTTTCAACTTCTTAGCATCGAAGGATTTTGAGCAATGAGGTATAAAATAAGCCGAATATCATCAAGAAATAACGAATACCGATTCGAGATATAGAATTGATCTACATTAAAACTATTAGTTCTCAGCGGACGCGGAATTTGATGCTCAACAACTTCTTCAACAAATTATTGTATGATTTTTTTTTTCTCTTAGAGAACTCATTTCCAAGCTGTAGCGCCATTTATAGTAATTTGTCTGTTTTTGAAGAATTTGGTAAAAATCGGCATTCATTGACCGTGGCTAAGGAAGAGACCACTGAACCAAATTATTAAGTTTAGGTACTCGTTCGACGCACAATTTAATTTTCTTTAATTTCTTAAAGATAACGTGTTTCGCTTTGTTACACTGTTTAGCAGCTATAGGTAAAAAAACAAAAAAAGGTCAAAATAATCTGTTTTTTTAGGCTATAAAGTTTTCCCTTGGTGGAACGCGTTTTATTTTTTAAATGTCAACCAATATATACAAGTTAAAAAAATAAAAACTGTTATATTTTTCACAACGAATTTCCCGTTCCCATCCTCAAGTTACTGGCCCAATATTCAGTGCATCAGTCACCATTTTTACAGGAAGCAAGATTGGACAAGCAAACTCCCATTTTTTATAAAAATTATGTTATAAATATTTAAAAAAAAATGCTTTTCATCAAATAATATCAATTTTTTCTCACGGACTCTTGGACTATCTAGGTTGCTAGCAGGTTTATTTCATATCATCACTCCCAGCAATTGACAATACTGATTTGGATACATCGATGTCCAATAAAAAACTAGTAGCTCATAAGCAAACCATTTTCCTTTTTTGATAGCAGATAAAAGTTTTTTAGGAGCTGAAGTTTTTTGTGCTCGCAATGAAATGCTGACAGATGCCAATTCTTGATTTTTTTTTACCACCATCACCATACAATTATATTTTCTATTTTTAAAAAATTACCATTAATAAATAAACCAATTGTTTTTACCTGAATCACCATTATATTTATCCGATAATTGTTCAAACTTATTGTTTTTAATTCTTCTACCTTTGTATTCGGCGATATTATTATTCCATAATTCGGGAGAATAAAGGGTATTGTCAATAAAAGATGTAGTTTTTTTGTTCGCCCACTCCATGCCTTCTACAAGCTCCACCGGGATGGCTGTTGGATAGAAGATACTGTTCGACATGTTGAATTATGTAGAGACATGATGCATTCCACAGGCAACTTGTAGCATGCGACAAGGCGACATATTTTTTGTCTCTTTGTGTTTCTTTTATGGAAATACTGTGTGAACCATGCACCAATGCCTACATAATAATACATTTTGTCTAAAAGTTGCCTCTGTGGAGTTGCACCTTAAAAAATGAAGAATTATCTACTGTTAAACAAGCATGTTTTTTTTTTTACTTAATACTCAATCTTTTTCTTTTTTTTTGGAATTCTTATTTTTCAATTAGAAAAATAATATTTCTTTAAAGCTACAACTCTAAAATTGAATTTCATAAACTATTATTTAATTCTATTATCCTCTAGTTTAACTTGATACTGTACTACCTTTGATGAAGTAGAAAATCAAAAACCCATAAGTTTATTGAACTGGTAGCCTAAACTAAAGCTTGGAATGACCGATTTAATTTCAATAATTTACCAGTTAAAATATCTTATAGTAAAAAATGTTGAAAACAACCATGATAATTATATTAAAATGAAATGAAATTATGCTGGAATCATTGTGGATTATATCATTTTAGTTTTACATTGATCCAACTGCAGGTGTAAAAATATTTTGAGATAAATTGGTGTTTAAGGGCTGTACATACCAATATTCAATAGGACTATCCATTGTTTTTAAACTATACATATAGATAGTACTATCAACAATCATCCATCCCTAGTCACAAGCTTGCTTAAGCTCTCTCTGTAGTTGGGTTATGATTTCTAAAAATTTGTTTGTATTCACTAAATATTACAAAAATGTGAACTAGAAAATTAATTGCTTTACCTTTTTATATATTCACAAAAAGCTATATAAAAAAAGTAAACACTATTTCATGAAAAGTGATCCTTAACCCATTCATCAAATGAGATATTGTCTACATTAACAGAAATCTTCATCATTAACAGAGGTTTAACTCAATCCCATTACAGTGACTGCGAACACACTTCAGAGTGTAAGATCTATCTCGCTATTAAAGTGACTATTGCTTTTGGACACAAAGCAAGTCTAGTATTTCTAGGCTTTGAGAACAAAAAACAGATTATCAGTTTTCATCCTTTAGAACAGAGGTGTTCAAACTACCTTCAATCCGGCACGCAAACGTTTCTTTGATAAGACTGTAAAATTTGAAAAACTATTTTAAGTATGAAATATTGCATGTTCTTTCTATATTAGAAAGCACATTTCACAGCTGAACTGACATTTACAAAACAATTTTATTTTTTTTCATCACAAGCCATGACTCGCGGGACTTAGTTTCAAGTCTCTAAGCGGCCTGCGGAACTTAATCGAGGTCTCAATATGGCCTGTGGATCAAAAGGATTGGTGACCCCTGCTTTAGAAGGTACATATAACAACTAAAAATTTATAGAAGGTGGATTTTAATTTTACTGAAAAAAGAATTGTGGAATTATTTTAATATTTTTATACTAGATTTCACAAAAAATAAAATAATTAATGTTAAAAAGCAATAACAGTCATAATGAAAGTTTATCATATCACAGTAGAGCAATATGGACATACCCATCATTGGATGGATTAACTAGATAGGAAACATTAAATATTGTCATTGATTGAATATAAAATGGCTGTTCCATTTTCTGAGGAATTACATTTTTATTTTCTCTGCCTTGAAAAATATAATTAGATGAAAGCACCAATTTCTCGCTAGGCATTTGCCAAAAACCATAATCTTATGGCTTGTATCTAATGCTCAGACCAACTTAATAGTCTATATCTGACCATATAGCCACAAATGTACTGCTCAATTCATGATTAAAGTTGCTATTCACACACACTGCACTTTGGTTAATCAACATTTTCTTAAATTGTTTGTCATTTAGATAAAGAAAGGTTTAAGTTCTTTCAAGAACTTACTAAAAATAGTTCCAAATAGCGCTTGATACCAATTAGTTTCCTCTAGGTACTCATCCATTTATAATAAAGTAGATACCCTATTTTTTATTAATAAATGACAGGTATTATTTTACCTCAACTGACAGGAACATTTCATTCAATGAATATACTGATTTTTTATTTTAATGAAATTTACAACTGTATTACATAGAAAATACAACAAGTAAATGTGACATTGGTAACATGACATGTACAACATGAAGAGAAACAACCCATTGGTAGAACTCAAATTAAAGTTCTATATTAGAAGGTCCCGAGGCCATCTTCTTTTCAGACGCCTCGGAGGGTTATCAGGGATCGAGGAGGAAGCAAGGTTTGAAACGAGAGGATTCGGATGGTTCTGCAGTTTGTTATGGAAGGATAGGTATTTGGATTGGGTCAAATCGGAAACATATGGAACATTAAGGTCTTTATGGATGATTTTATTTGTAAAGTAAGGAGCGTTGAGAATTTTTTGTAAGAATTTTGGATTGTAAGGATTGGATACGAGAGGAATTCGATGGTTTAGTGGAGCCCCAAAGCTCAATTCCGTAAGTCCAAATAGGTCTTATTATTGTCATATATATGAGTCGTTTGTAATTGATTTAAAGCTTAGAGCGTTTGTCTAGTAAGAGTGCTGCAATAGTCGAAAACGTCGGGCGGTATCTAGTCGTTTCAGTCTGGTATGGGGGTATATACTGAATTTAAAGAAGAAATGGAATTTTGAGGAATGTTTTGGATTTTAAGTGAGAAAAAATTTTTAAATAAAAAAAAATTAAACAATTAAAAAATGTACTTGAAAAAATGTTTATTGTAAATGTTATAATTACAATTACATTTAAAATGATATAACTAAAATAGGAATACCATTGGAAATACTAAGGAATAAATATTCCATTTATAAATACAATTTGGGAGGTGTATAAATAAAACTGGTAACAATTAAATAAAGTAGGTGGTAGATAGGAAGTAGTAATCATAGCTCCAGTGAGATCTTTTTGGCACGTCTTCTTGCTACGTTTAGTTTGGTCTCATCCCGTACACACTTCCGAGTGTTCTTCCCAGGCTGACACCTATAACATTACCATTAAATGTTAAATGGATAACAACTAGCCAAAATAGTATATACAAAAGTATTCTTTCATTGGAATTAATAATTAAATTCAGCTTAAAAAATATATAATTAAAAAAAGATCTTGACTTTTAATATAAGCATTACATCACAATAAAAAAAAAAAAACTTTCAAAATACCGATCGTAACTTAGTTAATAAAAGTCTAAAACAGTGGACAGCAATGAAGATAAAAAAGTAACAATTTGAAAAATAAATTTTAGTAAAAAAAACCTAAATTGAGATTTAATGAAAAGATATAAATAATCATGATAACAAATGGATCAATACGATAGTCCTGAGTTAGCCAAAGCATGTGTTTTAATTTTTATTTATTAGATCTATTAAAAAGAAATAAAAGTACCTGACAATCCCTACTGCAATACCATTGGTTGCCACAGCCCGCACAAACAAACTGTGCCGACTTATGCCTACAACCCTGGCATTGAGGAACCTCTTCGGAGCCTTCGTCAATAACAAGTCGGTCTCCACCATCTCCATCGTCATCATCCTAAAGAACGAATAAGATTTGCCACAATGATTACATTTTAATAATGCATCAAAATAAATACAGAAATGATTAAAAGACTAATATAATTTCGAAACTATTATCAGAAAAATCTATATAATTCTATGTTATCATACCATCCCCAATAATGCAAATTTTTCATTAATGTTGAATGTAACATTGAACGAAGTCAGTCTTTGAAGACCTTTATTGCCAACGAATCAACCCAAGATTGTTGGTCATCATTAAGGCATGTTACCAACACTGGAGGTTTTAAAGTACCCTCAAGGTATTAGAGAGGAACTTGAACAGGTTCAGTGCTGGTAACATCCTGATGATGACCAAACAAGTTTGGGTTGAAATGTTGACAATAAACATCATGACTATCTGTCATCCATTGAATATGATGGGCACTTTTAGATTGCACTTTTAAATTTCTTTACTGTTTATTTTATCAATAAAAATTTTTAAAATATTATATATTCAAGAATAAAATATTTTCATATGTGAAGATATTCACAGTTTGAAAGCTTCAGTAAAAATATTGAATTAATGTAGGAATCCTTATTCCTACCGTTCACATTTCACAATAGAAGAAGAAAATGGTATTAAATTTTTTTGTTAGAAATTTATATTAAGTAAAGCAGCTTTTAATATATTATAGAAAAGAATTTTATGACAAGGATCACATAGGAAAGAGCCAGTGGCAACTTAGAAGTGAACATTCCACCAATAAACTGATTAAAGTTGATGAGTGAGCAACAGTGACAGAATTTCTTTTTTTTTTTCCACCCCTTTCTCACCTTTTAGGCAATACAGGAGTTTTCTCAGGACAAGGGATTAATGGCGGACTTAAAGCCCCTTCGGCACCAGGTTGCAAATTTATAATTGTTTTATCATATTAGTATCTGTTTATCTGGTTGCCGGGCAGCCCTATCCTAACCACAGAATCACTCTACTGAGTGAACGATTAAATGAAGAGATGAGGGCGAGTTTAATCCCAGTGATTCAAAACTGAAATATTTATTTAGGTACCATAAAATTCCTATTTCACCACCTACTTCACATTTAAACTTCTGCAACCATGGAAGAATTTTTAGGTTTTGTAATTACAATGACTTACTAATAGTTAATTGATATGAACCATTTTATTTTTATCTTCTTGTATATTTATATCATTTCTACATGCCACACTGATGTAAATATTTCTTGAACTAGATGTTTTTATTCTTGGGCAACTTCAGTACCAGAATAAAATTATTTTCATTCATTCATTCAAAATGGAGGAAACTTTGTACCTTTGGGGGAGGGAGAGGTAATGTTACTCTAAAACAGGAATAACTTTTTTGTTTCCTACTTTCAAAGACAACTTTCTGTTCCATAGATTTAGAAATTTTGTGTTAGAAATTAGCTATTCTCAAGTCTTGTCGTTTCATTATTACATTTTTCTCAAGCAATCAAAGATATGGTATAACAATTAATAATTATAATTGTTTTTCAATAATGTTACAAAAGAAGTTTAAACATTTTTATTGAGCTAATCAAACATTAATTACTAACCAATAAAACAACATCTTCTTTATTCTTGACAGCTACGGGAGGGGTACCACTGACTGGGGTTATGGTTATTTCATTACGGTTCTTCTGCTGAAAAAAATGAATTAATTAATTATATAATTCAATTATAATACTTAAACATATAATTACCTCCACACTGAAAGGCACAGAGGAGGTAGAGAAAGAAGAAGAGAAACATATAATTTAAAAATGTAGAAAAATAGTAAACCAAAATTAAATTTAATAAGCATAATCTAAGGAATAGTGACAGAAAACCGAGTTACTAAAACTAAATTACAATAGAACATAAACTAGTAGTTTATGTCAAAAAAAAACTTGGTAGGTAGGTTGGAAAAAAACCATTGAGATACAATTCCCTCATATTTATTTAAATATTTATAGATGGATTTGGAACTTCAATATCAATTTTATTTGGGTTTAAAAAGTAAAACTGAAAAAAAATGCATTATAGAGGTTTTACACTTAATAAAAACCCAAAATACCTGAGTCTAATTTATGTAGTTAGTCTCTCCAGTAACAAGTTTGCATTACTGGTAAATTTATGAAACATGACCCAAAATAAATGAAATAGATAGAATCGCAATAAAAAATAAATCTGGTATGTCCACTCACACGACTTGCCTACCTATTTCAGAAAAGTTTTTATATCTTTAAATATGTCCATTAAGAAACAAAGCAAAATTTTAATTAGATTTATTTTCCTGAAAATTGATCAAAGAAAAGATTTGAGTACAATTTCTTTGACAAACCAAAGCAATGGAAACCGGCTTGTGGTAGATCAGTGCAAAAATTTCTTTTTTCTCTCTCATTCACCCCTTTCTGACACCAGAATATGAACCTGTAATCTTACATACGAAATTGAATAGCTTTAACTTCGTTAATAATTGTCCAAAATGAACGATTTTTATATAGTTTTGTAGGGAATTTCATTACCTTAAAAAAAAAACAACAACAGGCTAAACAGTGTTTTCAGAGGGCTCTAAAACGTTTTCTGAAATTTCTCGGGAACTTATTACATGTATGAAAATTGAAAGGACAATTATTAGAATATTAAAGGAAAGTTTCATCAAAATCGTTAGAAATATAGGTTTTCCACTTATTACGCAGAAAGCACCCAATATGTGTCACAGGCATCAGTATTCAAAACCGCTTATTGGAAATTTGACCCGATCGCAATACTTTCGTTAGGTAGGCAAGTAAAAAATTTACATAAGGTAAGATTCAAATAAATAACAATATTAGACAATTCAAACTATGTGAATTAAAACGAATTTCTTATTTCTTGAAGAGTCAATGTTTTACAGTATTGCTACTTTAACATACACCCATCAATGAACTTGAAAAAATTATTCAAGTCCTACTTTACACATCCACTATCTGTCTGTTCCACGATTAATGTTTTTGTTTTTTTAAACTGAGGATTTTCTTTCTAGACAGGTGTGAATTGTCAACTCTCTGTAAGTCAGAAATGGTAAGTTAGGGGACGAACAAAAAAATAAAAATGAGCATTAACAGTCTAAACAGATAGGACATCTTTATGGGTAGAGCAAAAAAAAATTTAAGGACTAATCATAAAAACTGATTTATCAGTATAAATAATCGTAATAATTCAATAGGAATGATTTTCAACTGCCTTTTATAAATGAACTGAATCATAACTATTACCAATAGACATGAAACATTAACATGGATTAAATAATGTTTTTGAATATTATTTTTTACTGACTATAAGAGTTTTGAGATAATCAAGAAAAACGAACCTTTGTCGACGATAATATGTCTGCTATGGACACCCTAGATGGCGGCCTGAAGTGAGGAGGTGGGGCCGGAGGTCGTTCCGGCGCAGTCAGAAGTCGCGCCAGGGTGGGGGAGAAGGAGGCTGGCCTGGGTGGTGTTGATTTGGTTAGCACCTGGTGGAGCAAGGAAGGTGGGGAGACAGGATGTAGCGTCACCTCAGGATAAGGCTTCGCTCCATTTGGCTTCACTGACTCCTTAATGGCGGCTTCTTCTCGCCTGCTCTGCTCCATACCTAAAATAAAACAAGTATCTTTTGTATAATTATTATTAAAGTAATACTATAAAGCATGGAAAAAAAATTCAATTTCTCAAGTTATTATAATAAAAGGACTCCATAACATAAAAAATCTTAACAAGAACATCATGCAAAAACATTAAGGAGTTATATGAAGGATAGCTTTTGGACACTTCCAATTAAATAATATTATTACTTACAATATAAATAAATTATAGATTTACAATAATACATTTTCAGCTAAGAATCACACAATACGCGAGGAGCTCCAGCTCCCCTCGGTACCTGAGTTCATAGGCCGGAGGCACATCAAATTTTTTGATAGGCTGAAGGCCTGTGCAAACCCACTGTTTAATGAGATCTCACCACCACCCAGACCTGGGAGGTGGCAAGGTAAACTCCCTTTGGTGGACATACTCGCCGAAGGATGTGGTCTGGACTCTGCGGTTCAAACTCATTAATGTGTATAATTGTAAATAATAAATAATTAGCAGAACGGTCCCTCCCCGTCCAATGAAAGTTACAAGGCGTTGCGCCACATATGTTACTCTTATCTATCCCCAATCCTTAAAATGCCCTCGGGCAGAGGAAGGACTTTATTATATGTATATATTAGTATTGTTATACTTCTATATGTAGTTTATTAAATAAACGTTTTTTGGGGGGGGAGGGGTTAGGAAAAAAAAAATGCATTGAATACTTGCCTGTCAGCTAAAATAATGGCACGTACAAGGCTTATTATTATTATATGAGCCTTTCAGAGGACAGAATGACTAAGCCAATTTCATCATTGTTTGTTAATTATTTTAATGATATTTTTAGTTGGAAAATGTATACCTTTATTCACAATTCAATATTGCAACACTGCAATCGACTACTTTGGAATCAACTTAAAGTTGGTATAGATATTATAAATTTTCTAACTAGAAATATCACTAAAATGACCATAAACCAATAATTCATGAGAAGACAGATAACATAACCAGTGTGTTCGTGGAATCAGATTCTTGGTTAATATTGTTGTCTGGACATTTATTGATAATCTTCAGGAAATATATATATAAATATTTTACTATATTACTTATATTTTAACAAAACAGAATAGGATACTTACATGGAAAAAATATATGAAAATTTGAGCCATAATAGATGTGATAAATAATATATTTAAAATTTAAGCTGCATTTATCAAATGAAATAAGTTCAGATTTAGCTACAAACTTTAATAGCAGCATGACGGAGATACGGTGGGAATGGAGCAGTGGAGGTAATGGATCTAACATGACCCGCGTTATGTGCCATTTCTTGTTTTTTAAGGCTAGCTTATTTCATTACTTTATAGGAGGTTTGGAATTTGAAATGGTTTACAAAGCTACTTAACTATACGATGAGCTTTGGCTTTGTGACATAGTATTTATCAAACTCAACCACTCTGCCCTGCTTCTTCCAATTTTCTTCAATGAAACTTATTTTTGCAAATATGCATCAGGAAAAATCTTTGCAAATATGCAAGTATCCAATTCACTTATATTGATAGATGAATAATATATAAAAAATGGGGAAAAAAAACCTTACCCATATTATAGACATGATCAGACACAGTCCTAACAGAAGCTCCAGTGCCAAGCGCCATGTTGGCCATGCTAATGAGAGACGGATTCGATGAAAAGCGTTGTTCAGCGGATCCTCGCATCCTTCTCCCTCGCCGAGGAGCAGTCTCTGGATGGCGTGACCTGTAACCACCACTACTCATATATAGGAACATATTCTTATATAACCTTATCATAACGAAGTTCATAGATTTAGGTGAGGATATGATTCGGAATATTTATACAAAATCTTATAACAAATACTTGCAATAAAAAACAATATACAATTCAAATGGAAATATAAAATGAACAAAATATTTTACATACATTTTATCAGACTTCTAAGATTAAATTTATGGTAAAATCTCAAATTTCAACATAGTATTATTAAAAATTCTAAATCAAAACTTAGTTTCTTAAGTGTTACTGAAAGACAATCAGTGCACAACAAGATCTTACAAATCACAACTACATTATATACTCAATCAGTCACTTTGAAGAGCTGACAATCAATTTTATGATCACATTTTTGATTGATTTGATCACATGATTCGAGCATATATGATCTTTAAAGGCAATAAAGAAATATTTACAATGAAATAATTTTCTAATCAAAATATTACTACGAACAACCTAAAGAAGTCTCATGTCCACCACAATTTCATATATTATTTATATTGACAACTAATGATTTTTTTCATCTCACAAGTGTCACAAATTGATCATCTAGAAATAATTTAAGATGTTTAAACAAAAATTATTGAATTTGAAATAGTAAACGAGAATCTACTGTATTATATGTTTTAAATTAACGATTAAAACAAATATATCTTTAATAAATAGGTAAAGATGTACACACCTATAATCATCTATAATTGACTTGACATCTACAATAGGTCCATTTCTGCCTTCACGGGGGTTGATCCCCACAGCATAAGGACTTGGTTTAGGAAGGATAGGTCTCTGCTGCTTACCAAGACCGTCTGGAAACCTCGGACCCCTCATCATCATCATCATTAGATTATTCGGTACCTGTTGCAATCATTATTAGAGTAAATAATTGGCTAGATAATTTAGAGACTAAGTCTAGCAATGAACCCAAATAAAGAGATTAAATTTTAAACTTCCATAACTTTTTATTATGAGACCATTAAAAGATAAAGATATTTAACCATTAAAACAGACTTTTAACTTTAACATTTAATATTTGTTTTCTAAATGAGCATAAAAACAAAATGTTACTAAAGCAGTGACAGTAAGTCGATTAAAAAAATCAAAACTAAAATCTTTACAAAACATTTAAAAAATAAATAGAAAACATCACATTTTAAAGACATCTTGTCTCAACCACTGTTTTGTAGGATGCCTTTCTTAATTTTTTTAACAATGAAGTATTAGCTTAAGCGAAGATATACTTAATAACACTAATTTTATGAGTGCAATAAATCCACAACATCAATGAGAGCACATCAATGGTGTAAGAATTGTGAAAAAATAGAGAAATCAGTGAATTGATGTTTTGTAAAATAAGAAAACCTAAATCACCAAATAACAAAGTAAATAATAAAAGTGCAACATCAAAAATCTATCCTCTATTTCATAATATCGTAGGTTAATTACAAATACTCACTAAGTGCATATTTGATATCAGTTAACTTTTAAATATGTTATTATGAATTCATACTTTAATTATCGCTATAAAAACACCATCAGTGCATGAAAATAACACAAACATTTTTATACTTCAAATATAGTTACAAGCACACAATTTTCTGATTTCACAAGGAAAAATTCTTCAAAGTTGTTAATTATTAGATGTTATGAAATATCGCTCAATGACTTTTTACAATAAATATTATTATTAAGTCACATGCCAGAAAAATATAAATGAATATAAAAGTAACAAATGAGATTGACGAAAAGCCTACTTCCCCAGTGGTAACATAATATTTCAAATGTAATATGGTGCAAGCAGACAAGTATGGATCGGCTCCACAACAATCAATATGTATTAAATATATCTACATATTAAATAATATATATGTAATAACACGGAGGAACATAAATTTTTAAAAATTGTTGATGTACCTTATTGTTTAAATTTAAATGCTCAGGGAACCTTTCAGGAACTGGCTGCTCGTCGAGGCAGTGCATTCTTTTTCTCCTTAGCAGCCTTTCCAACATTTCTTCCTTCAGCTTCCTTACCTAACGGATATAGTCTTGTTAAGGTTTATGTCATTAAATAGAACCATTAATCATAAAAATGAATTATTTTAAAAATAAGTGTATATACAGATTTCTTATATTCAGTTCTATATGTGTATAGAATATATGCACAGTATATTCAGATATATATGTCAAATAATAGGATGCTTCAGTATTATTAATCGAAAAATCTTTGGAATAAACAATCCAAAAACAGTTTTAAAATTACTGCTTCTTTGTTTAAGAACTATCTGAGAAAAAAGAGAAAAACAAATTTGAATATTTGATGGTTGACCACGGCCTATTATTGAGTAAAGAAATTTATGACCGCCAACCTGGAACATATTCTTACTCAAGAAAAACAAATTTGCTTTAACTAAAATCTATCTAATGAATGTTTCTCTCAATAGTTTTGCTAACTAGGATTTGAAAACATAATGCTTGTGTACGACTAAGTTCAATAAGCAATCATTACCCTGAGAATGGCATTCCATTCCATCTCTTTTGTGGCGGCCATTTCCCCAAGGCTCTCAATCTCTTTGGCCAGCCGGTCAGAAGCCTCACCGAGGCTATCAGGTGAAGTAGAAACCTCTGTTACAAACTCAGAGATCATTCTTTCTCTTTCGTCATCCACTGGAGTCTATAACATTCATATTAAATTTTACACTCTTACGATTAAAACATAATCTATGATTTTATAATAAAAAATATTTATTTTTAAAAAAAAATCGAAAACCATTAAAAAATTTTGAATTTATTCATAAACCTAATAAAGCTGTTAAAATAGTTTTGAGACATAACATACAAGGGTGGTCTGAAAAGTTTCCGACCAAACAAAAATACAAAACATTTTTTCTAAATTTAATTTTTATTTTTCGACATAGTCTCCTTGTAACCCTACACACTTCTCCCAGCGATGCTCGCTTCTCTGCAACCCGTCTAAAAAGTACTCGGCATTTTTCTCTGCAAAATAATTGTTCACGAAAGTGATTACCTCTTCATTTAATGAAAATCTGTCCTTTGAGCGCAATTTTTAGATAAAGGAACAAAAAGAAGTCACTTGGGGACTAGATCTGAGTAAGGCGGATGGTCAAGCAGTTCAAATCGTAATTCGTGGATTTTGGTAATAGCAACTGTTGAGGTGTGGGATGTAGCTTGGTGAAACAGGATCTTCTTTTTTTTGCAAATGTGGCTGTTTTTCCACGAGTTAGGCCTTCAGCTTGTCAAGTAATGATGCGCAGTATGCTACTGTAATAGTTTTTCTTTTTTAAAGATATTCGATTAAAATAACTCTATGACTATCCCAAAAAACAGTCCATCACTTTTCCAGTCGAGCAAACAGTTTTTCTTTTTTTGGAGCCGGTCCCTCCTTTGCAGTCCACTGTTTAGATTATATTTTTGTTTTGGGAGTACAACCGTGTATCCAAGTTTCATCTACAGTAATTAATCTGCGCCAAAACTCGAATTTATTACGCCTAAACAGCGACAACAGAGCGTTGGAAATGTTCATTCGAACACATTTTTAGTCTAACGTGAGTAAACACGCACCCAACGCGCGGGCAGCTTTCTCATATCTAAATGTTGATTTAAAATGTAACAAACACGTTCTTAACCTCTGCTATCTCTCTCACTTTAATTCAGTGGTCCTGTTCATCTCCCAAGCTCTTACGGCCACGTTTAAAATCAGCTGTCTAAAATTTCATTGGGGTAAATGATGGTGCAGAGTCCCCATACATAGAATCCAACTCATCTTTAATTTGCGTAGGCATATTGCCTTTCAAAAAGAAATATTTAATGACAGCTTGATACTCGACTATGCCCATTTTCACAAAAAAACTCACATCAACTTACTAAAAACAACTGTTACATAAAAACTAGGCGTCCAAAATTGTTGAAACTTTGGTGGGTAACTGCCAACAGAGAAACAACGAAATTCACTTGCTTTTATTTACGAGTGCTGTCATCTTCACGTTGCAGTCAGAAACATTTCAGACCACCCTCGTATTATATACTAAAGGTATGTTCTTACCAAAAATTTCTTTCAGACTTTGAACTACCTGCTTTACCAAGTGTATAAATACGAAACTGAATATGTGATGGTAGATTATTATTTTTATTTATTTTCTGTTGGAATTACAGACCATTCAGATCTTTTGCCCTCTTAAGAAGCCTGTTCCATCTACCGTGCTATCTGCACAAAACCTTGTTGATTCTATCTATCCATATGCTTTCTGGCCTTCCAAGTGGTCTTTTGCCTTCTATGGAGGCATTCATTGTTCGTAAAGGCTTCCAGATGGATTGCTTCGAGCTACATACCCGGCCCATTTTAACCTCCATGCCTTCATATCATGGGATATTGATTGACCAGTTTCTGTAAGCAGTTCTTTATTGATCTTTCTTCTCTGATCCCAGAATGCTCCGGTTATCGTGCCGAGGATTTTTCTCTCAAATCTTTTAACACTTTTTCTAGGGTGCTAGTTAGTGTCCAGGTCGCATACCATATCATAGCATTGTACACCCTTTTTTCAGGATTTCAATACCTTTGAGAGGGAGAAGAAAACTCTGTGCTAGTTATACGGTGGTCTATTTCTGCCCGTTGATCATTCATTGAGGTTATTGTGGAGTCGGTGTTTGAATTTTTCTACTCTCAGGAATGATTTTTCTTCGACGCATTATTGCAGTGGAATTTCCGGCTTATCATATATTTTGTTTTGTCTTCATTTCTTTGTAGGATGATCTGCTATGCCTCTCTTATCAGTGCTGTAGCAAATTTCTCAATGTTTTCTTGATTACTTCCAAGAACAGTTATATCATCTGCATACCCAAGGATTTTATGGTTCATTCCGACTTGGACACCTCCATTTTCTGTAATGTTGCTCTTGCTACCTTCTTCAGGGCTAAGTTGAACAAAATCGGTGACAGTCTTTCTCCCTGTTCAACCCCCTAATCTCCCTGTTGTTAGCCCGTTCGAACTTTGAAGGCTTCAGATACTTCTCCTTGTATTAATATGATGCAAAATAATTTTTTTGGTGTGTTATCATGAAAAAAAAAAAATTTTTTTTGTTGCCTTTTTTATATTCTGTTTGTATTTCACGCAATACTTGATTCAAATTGATAATTTGTTTTGTCAGTAGTGTTCAGTATTAATGATTTAGTTACATTTTAGCAGCTCATATTAGATTAAACTCTTCTGATCCAATCCAACACAACTTGATTTTAATAAGTGTTGATTGTTCATCTACAGTTATCCATGATCTTTAATTTTTTTAGTGGTGTTCATTCCTCGCATAAAAATTGTACTTATGAATTTTTTCAAAAACTTTTATACGATTATACAGCTGTTTTTTTTTTTAATGGAAACAGTTAACTGCTTTATGCAAATGGTAGTTTGTAGGTACAAAACTTTACATATTCAGCACTATTAAAACAATTGTTGAGAATTGAAAATCTTTGCCCATTGTTGAAGGAACAAAACGGGACCAATAATATGGATTAACAGTGACAACACTAACAACTAGGATCATCTTTGGACAAATTTTCGTTTCATATTTACAGATCTGTTAGATGAAAATTTGAATTTGGCCTAGCGTATTAAAGCGTAAACATTAACATTCTGAAGTCTAACGATACCGGATCGAACCTGTCTTGGACGGGTTAAAATTTCATGTTTTGAAAAAAAATTCCTGAATAGTTTACAAAGTCTTTAGGAACGAATAACAGATGGTAAATCGAGCGAGACTTCAATAACTTACCAATTATCGTATTTTCTAAGACTTAGATAGTTGAAAAATAAAAAATTAGAATAAATAAAAATAATACACAGCTATACAACTGTATAACACAACAATAGAACAAAATATGCTCATGATATGCATATTATTTCATAATGCATAAAACATATGATATATTACTAAGAAAAAATTATAATATAATTTTCTTTTTAATGGAACATAGAATGTTACAAAAACTGGGTTACTGAAGATTATGGACAGACAGAAATGAATCTAATTATTAAAAAAATAAAATAAGTAAACATTTATTTTAAAAGAGAATAACAAAAATTTAGATAAATCCTTGGACTATTTGCTCTTCGGCCAAGTCATAGCCTACTTGCTAAGGTTTCAGCATTAATAATTCCAACTCCTGAAAAAAATTTTATTAGAATAAAAAATCGATTATATTTACGATCAAATCTATAGCAGGTATTCACCCTAGTTTCACGATTAGAAGCCTCCGCAGGAATTGTTTCAGTCTCTTGGTCCACTTTATTGCGCTTTCTACTGGAATCGCTTTCCTCGCCGCCACTGCCACCCTCAGGTTCTGGTTCCTTCACATCTAAAGCCCGTTTCCGTGAAGCTTCTGGATTAGGATTAGGAGGAGGTAGGGAGTTTTGAGGTTCTTCTTCCTGTTACAAATACAGAATATTAAGGCAATACTAATCGATTACATTAATACAAATTTATGAAAAGACAAAAATAGATTTAATTTAAATCTAAATTAATAGACTATTGACTATTTAAGTAAAAAAAAAATTTTTTTAATAATATTTTTAATTATATAATATATTATTATACAGATATTTATTTTAAAAATGTTGTTTAAAAAGGTATTACATAAAATCAATTACAATAAAATACATCGCAATGATAGTATTAATATAATTTTTGATTATCATTAAACAACTGTTCTCTACCGTAGATTGAAACACATTATTATTTAATTCACAAAGTGTTTATTAATACTTTATAGTTTTAATAATATACATGTACAACTGGTGGCTTATAAATTGTGACTTAAATTCCTGGTTGTGGGACAAGGGGCAGATTTAGTTCAGCTAACATTACGTTTAAAGCAGAGAATTGTATGTTTAGCTCCAATTGAAATATTTTTTTTTTTTATTGTCTTAATTTAAAAAGCAGCTTTTCGGTTTAATGAACGAACCACCTACCAGGAAAGATTAATTTAAAGAATATGGTGAAATGTATGTTACCATGAAAAATGATGATAAATAAAAAACGATAGATTTTTTAAATATTTAAAATACAATTCAATAATAATCGTTCTTTACTTTGGGAGTTATTGGCCTGGATTGGGGCCTCTCTTCTTCAACGGGCACCTCTTTAGGAGCGGGAGTTTCTTCCTCCTTAATTTCTTCTTTAATTTCAGGAGCAGGCAGTGGTGCTTCCTCCTGGACCTCTTTGACTGGCTCAATAGTCTCATTTTCCTGTGAGCATTTAAAAGATATTTTCAAGGTTAAATTATTATACAGATACATTATGGACATTAAGAATAATCTATTCTATCAAACATTGAATATTAACGAATCAAATAGTAAGTAGGAGCAGCTGCAACATCATTATTTAACAATGACTTCAGACCGTAATTAAAAATATAAAGAAACAATTTTGCATCCACTGAATATAATTATGATGCAGAGATGGTTGACCGTTGATATAATATGAGAAGGAGTTTGTCGGGGGTGCGGTCAGATAAATACTAAATTAAAATATAGTAATTATTTTATTTTAATTTTGCCGACGTTTCGAACCCACTTTGCAGGTCGTCTTCAGGGCTACAAAAGATGCAAAACATGGTGAGAATAAAAATTAAATATAAGTAGATATAAAATAAGAAGAAGTTGTCAGATACAGAAATCAAAGATGATATCAGTGATATAGTGGGTGACAATGTAGTAAAATATTAAGTATTATATATGTAGAAGATACAAATAAATGGAAAATAAGTATGAATAAAAATAAAGGAGAATATAGCATGTAAGTTAAAAGTAAACAGATTGTGATAAAAGATAAGGAATAAGTGTATAACAAACTAATAGAGATTACATTAGATAACTGTGGGTTAACAGATAAAGAAAATGAATGTTATCGAATAAATAGATTGAAAATTGAATAAGTAATGTTATAAATATACTTAACTATAAATATATAAATATAAATATACTTGTTATGTTATTAATATACTTAATATTTTACTACATTGTCACCCACTATATCTCTGATATCATCTTTTATTTCTGTATCTGACAACTTCTTCTTATTTTTTTATCTACTTATATTTAATTTTTATTCTCAACATGTTTTGTATCTTTTGTAGCCCTGAAGACGACCCGCAAAGTGGGTTCGAAACGTCGGCAACATTAAAATAAAATAATTACTATATTTTAATTTAGTATTTATCTGACCGCACCCCCGACAAACTCCTTCTCAGAATATAATTATGAGATACTTTCTTCATTAAAGCGTTCTGTACATCTCTCCTAACACAATCAAACCGAACATTTAATTGCATTTCTGCATAATAAACCAATATTTCAATGTTTCCTTTCTTTTTTTTTAATAGACAAATAGAAAGTAAGAAGTAAGAGTGTAATATTCATTTATTTCAATCCTCACTTGTCTCTCAACAACACGGATTTGTGGTAGAAGTACCCCGATACTTCTACCACTTATTCCCTAATTCTTTTAATTCATTGGTAAAGGTTGAAATGATTTAACACCATTAATTCCTTCTACCCAAAAGGAAAGATTCAAAGTCCTCCCCCTCAATAGCTAAAGTAAATCTTTCTCTGTGAATATAAAGAGCCCAGTTATCCTTAATAGTTTGGCTCTTATTATCTCAAAAGCATTAGACTAAAAACTAGATCATAATAAACTAGATGAAACATTTGCAGAGTTCATTCTGTCAGATAGACTCCCAAAGAAATCAGAACGAACTAGGTTACGTGGATTATATCAATAAAATACAAGGTGAGAAATAATAATAAAATTATTATTTTCGCAAGCAGTATTTGTCAAAGGGAGGCCCATGGAAATGAAGTAGCTGACACGATATAACATTTGGCTGATGTTACACTGTCAATAATGATTTAATTAGATCATCCATAATAACATTAATAAGGAATATAATTGATTTATCACAAAGAAATAAATAATTAGAATGAACAATATCTATTAAAACCAGTCAAATTATTAGAAGAAACATGGGAAGGATAATAAGTATAATTCTATCAAATATGAAACTAAAAAAAAAATTTTAATTTAGCAAACACTATTCTTTAAAATTAAGTTTAGTAAATAGTTACTACTAATCGTTTAAGGTCTTGAAATAAGTGCTAAGTAGTAATAAAAAAAGATTAAAACCACTAATTATGAATTATGACTATCCTAGACTAGTTCAATCAGCTCATGAACCATATTTTAATTATAAATAGTAAATACAAACAATTAAAACATAACTAAACCTTAGATAATAAATCATGATTGGTATTATGGAGAGTTTTATTTCCAAAATAAACTTTGAAAACCAAAAAAAAAAAAAATTATTAGATATATTTTCTAAATTAGATCACTAATTTAAAAGTGGATAGAGCATCAATAGGGTAATTTAACTGAAAATTAATTTTCCCTTCTATAATTTTTTTTTTAAACTTTATAATAATAATTCAAAAATTTTAGAAGTCAAAATTCACTTGAACAAATCCAGCCTTTTTTTATTAAACATTTGCAAAATTAAACATACTAACAATTTATTAAAATAAAATATATTAATAATATAACACAGTGAACACTTACACAACAGGTTTTTAAATCCAGTTCAGAATTCAAAACTGGGCAATTAAGTAATGAGTCTGACAAATTTTTAGAGTGAATATTTTAAGCACCAACTTTTAATTTGATTGCGATAAATAAAAAAAATAATGGAACATTATTGTTGTAAGGAAGCGATGAATAGAGTACATATATTCGTAAACAAATTTACAAAACAACTAAGATGTTATCTTAATAATTTATAAGGCAAATGAAAAGATGAATCTGCAGTTTCGATCGTCTGACAAATAGAAGTCAAACACGAAATAAATCAGCTGATACATACTGGCTTTGTGGTAAGTCGGAAAACTTCTGTTTGTAACTAAATTTTTCTCAATTTAAAATGTTTTACTAATAACAATGGAAAATCCTTTTGCAACTTATATTATTAATTAATGGGATTAGTAAGAACGATGATTATTGAAGAGGAGTTATGAAAATAAGTATTTTCGAATACGAGTTTTGACAATCAGCACTGCATGGGCTCTAGGCATTGCGCAGTACGGTTTTGTAGTTTTAGTTTTGCATGTACAGTACAGGTTTTGGAACAGACTAGATGTTAGTAATAGTTAATAACAGCGAAGACAGCAAAAAAAAAAGTACATTAACAATAATCAAAATTTATATAACTGTTCACGATGTTTACTACTGGCCCGCAAAAAACAAAAACTGTACCGTACATCGGAACTGGTTTTATTCTATAGATGTCTCATTAACGTAGCTTCTTCGAATGTTCACTTCGAACAAAATGAACAATTCCTTTTTTCCGTCTGACTAGATAATGCGGCGATGTCTCTTTTCTAGCTTTATGCTTATTTTAGTAATATTTGTGGAATTCACTGAGTTGTGTTGGGAATGAATGTTTTATATACCTTTGAACTTTTTCTTTTGAATTTGTATTTTTTTAAATTTTATTTAACACGTTTAGTATTATTATATTATAATTATGCGTAATTTCTATCTTTGTATTCTTGCTAACCAGCTGTTCAATATAAGGTTATATTGATATAAGGAAGGTTTCTTAGCTCCGTTAATAGAACCTTCTCGTTCGTTCAGTATTTACATACTTGGATGGCTTCATGAGATGTCTACTGCGATTAATATTTTTTTTTCTTTCTGCATATATGTGATCTTGTTTTTTTCTGTGCTGATGGTGCCTGAATCGGCGAAACGTAGGCAAGTAAACTATTCACCTGTCTGTTGGAGGGTTCGTAGTTTGGATTATTTCTTTTAACCATAAAAAAAAACGTTTAACATTAAAACAAAAGTTTAATTGGTAATTGGTAAAGAAGTACAATGGCGGTAAAATAGCAATAATTGTAAAAAAATAAATACTTAAAAAATAAAATAAATAAATACAATTCGTTTAATAAATACTTTCTGCGAAATGAATTTTAAAATATTCTTTTTATTCACTTTCATCGTACAAGCGTAAATTTTACATATAATAATGCTGGATATGTAAATTAACAAATCCGTGAAAATTAGTGCAATGATTTACACGCAGTTTTCGACAAAATGGTTTTAAACTAATGAAATTCTCAGTCTGAAGAGTATAAAAAAAATTAAATATATTTTCAACATGTCAAGAGAATTCTTTCATCACTATTATCATTTTGGATAGAATGTTTTATTAACCAATAAAATTATAAATATGAAAAAAAAATACCTGGTTGCTGAAATTATAAAAACAATTATAAAGAAATCAGCAAAAGATAACATTGTGTTTTCAACAAACGAATGGATTTAGAGTTAAAGAAAGTTTTACTACCAGCACTAGTAATACCCTGAAAGCATTACTGTATAAATAGATTAATTCTTTTAAATAATGGAATATTGTTAGAAAAATCTTTAAGCAATAATAGTTTCATCTTTTTCTGGTGGTAAGATTATTAAATAAAATACCTTTAGAAATTTCAAGGATAATAATAAATACGATAATGGTTATATAAAATAATGGTGTATACTTTTTTTTTTAAGCTTTAGGCATTCAAATTAGTATTGATAAATGTACCTGAAATTTTAACAATGAATTCGAAATATAATTAGAAAAAGAAAATGGGAGGAAATTTTCATTTTTTTTTTCTTTTAATTCAGAAGGGTAAACAAATAATTTAAAAATACATAATTGCTTCTGAAATAAAAGTTTTCAAACAACTAACCTTACGTTTCTGGCTATCAGAATTTTTTTTTCAAATTTTCATTTTTTTTTTCTTTTAATTCAGAAGGGTAAACAAATAATTTAAAAATACATAATTGCTTCTGAAATAAAAGTTTTCAAACAACTAACCTTACGTTTCTGGCTATCAGAACGTCTTCTACGTTTCCATCTTCTACTAAAGCCCTTAGATTTTTTTCCTCCCCTCTTACCCAAACCATTGGCCAAAGGACTACAGTTTTCCTTTTCCATGAAGGTTTCTCGATACCTTCTGGATTAAGAGGAATCAGGAATTCGGAAGGCCACGTAGAAGAAATAGATAAGACAGAAGTGTTCAATAAGCCTGAAGAGACTTCGCAGAGAAACTATGGACTGAATCAGTCCGTAGCCTATCAGAGCCCAAAACCTACTTGCTGGAGTGGGGGAGAGGGAGATTATATCACATCCAGCAGACTGTTG